AAGCAGCCCGAAAACCCCCTGGTCCTGGACCTGCTAGAGCCGCTGCTGCTCATCATCCGGCGGAGCATGCGCACCAGCAGCACCAAGCAGGAGCAGGACCTCCTGCACAAGACGGCCCGCATCTTCACGTGAGCGCCATGGGCACCGGGGAAGCCGAGCCTCTGGGGCTTCCCAGATGGAAAGGGTGGGAGCCAGGATCCCTGAGTGGGCCTCCTTGGCTGCCCTAGGGGGCACACTTCACTAGTTGTCACGCAGCCCTCGTTCATCCATCTGTCCTGCGACTATCAGCACAGGGTCTGTATCAGACCCACAGTCCTTGGGGGCCCCCTAGTCCCAGCCCTGCTTTCATGGTTACTGCGGTTGGGAAACCAGACTGGTCGCCAGCAGTGACGTCCTGGGGCTGTAGTAGGGAGTGGATAGGAAACAGTGGAGACACCTAACTCAGTCTTGAGGTGCCAGAAAAGGCCCCCTGGGAGAGGTGTCAGCAATACTGGGAGCTGTAGCGCTAGTCAGGTCCAGAGGCCACAGGCAGGGGAGGAAGGCATGTCCAGAAGGAAGCTAGTCAAATGCAACGGGAACAGAAGAGGCCTTGTGGCCCAGGCCTGGCAGGATCGGGGCCCTCATAGGTATTCACACCAAGACATGGGCAGGGCGCGGGGCTGGTTTGTCTTTTAGGAAAGGTGTAGCAGGGTGGGCTGTGCTCGAGCACATAATGAGAGACGAAGCAGGTGGCAAATTGAGCCGTGCCTTCCAGAGAGCAGAGAGGGTGGCGGAGACAAAGGCTCAGGAGTTGAGAGGCCAAGTGTACAGCACAGGGTGGGTGAGGAGGGCCGGATGCCCCCCTCCCCTGCTGGCCCCAGGTCACTTCTTCGCTAGTTCTCCCCGCCACCTGCTTGGGCGATGTTGAGTTTGTTGAGTATCCTGTCTCTCATCTCAACTCTGCCCAGCCACCCAGGGTGCTGAGCACACAGACCCTGGTTTTGCTTTACAAAGGGCCTGGGAGTCACTGTCCCCCAAGAGACAGGTGCAGGGGGGAGATGTGAAGCAAGGGGGGGTGTTGGTCCATTGTGGAGCCTCACCCAGGGAGGCCTGTTCTCCTCTGGCTTTTCCTCAAGGCAGATCCACATGTGGCCCTGGGCCTCCTCCAGCAGCTTTAATCAGACCCCTTTCTTTATGTGTCTGTTTCCTGCCTGTGAAATGGGATCCGGGGTGCCAACTCTGGGGCTTGGCTCTGCTTGGCAGGGAGCAAGGCAGGGAGAGGACGTTGTAGCCAGCTCTGCCCGCTTCCTCTCCACAGGCACCACCTGTGCCGCTCCCGGCATTACTGCCGCGACCTGGGCGACCGCGTGGAGACTCTGTATACGCAGCTAGAGCAGCTGGTGCAGCAGGCCGGCCACCAGGCTGACTCCTCCATCTCCCTCTACTACTTCAACGCTGCCCTCTACCTGCTCCGGGTCCTGAAGGGCAACACTGTGGACAAGTCCACCCACAAGGCCCAGAAGAAGGAGAAAGCCAGCGCTGACACCAGCACCCAGCCTCAGGGCCCAGAGGTGAGCAGGCCCTGGCCCGGGAAGACTTGGCCTGGAAAGTCCAGTGTCCACAGATGGGAGCGTGTCCCAGGCGGCGGTGGGACCATCCCCTCGCTTCACAGATGGGGAGTTGAGGCCGAGCCTTCCTTGGGACCCAGCTTCCAGCCTTCTGAAGGCAGCCAGGCTCTGCCCCCATGTCAGGGGCCCCTACCCCTGGCATCACAGCAGCTCTCTCTCACCTGGCCCAGGCTGCCAGCTGCTTGGATTTGAGCCTCGTGACCCCGGTCTATTCATCTGCACTGAGCTCCTTCCTGACCAAGCGCAACAGCCCGCTCACCGTCCCGATGTTCCTCAGCCTCTTCACCCGGCACCCGGTGAGTGTCGGGCCAGGCCACCCCTGTGGGGCCCCCGCTTGGGCCCAGCCCTCACAGCCGCCTCACAGCCCTGTCTTTCTCTCCCCAGATGCTCTGTAAGAGCCTGCTCCCCATCGTGGTCGAGCGTGTGGCAAGCCCCACACGGTCCCGCCATCAGGTAAGGGGCTGCCCATATCCCAGTCCAGGGCCTGTTTGAGTTACCCGCTTGACTCATCTCTGGCTGGCTGTTCGCGAGGCCCAGGAATGCTGCCCTGGGGGGCGGAGGGTGGGCCTTGCCCCTCTGCCCTGGCCAGCGCCACCCACCCCACCCCCGACTATAGGCCCAGAGTAGCTGAGGGTGGGGGACACTTCCCACATGCCCCGGGCCCTCTGGCTTCTCAGAGCTCATGCTCTGGCCTGCACGGGGGAAGCCTGGGGGCTGGAGAAGTTGGAGGAAGCTGCACCGAGTAGTAGAGGGCCAGGTCTCCCACCTGCCAGAGGAAATGGGGCAGGAGCAGTTGGTTGCTGAGCCCAGAGCTTCTGTGGTGACAACCCAGGGAGCTTGGACCCAGAGCAGCAAGCAGGCAGCTCCCCCCCACATAGCCTAGAGTTTTCTCAGCCTGCTCGGGTGCCCAGCAGGCTCCCAGAGCTCATGGGGTCCCCCTGTAGTTCCCTAAGCCTTGGCCCCACATGCCAGGGCTGCTGGTCACCACACTGTCCCCCACCCCAGGCCCAGGCCTGCCTGCTGCTCCAGAAGACCCTGCCCACACGGGAGCTGAGACTGTGCTTCAAGGACCCTGAGTGGGAGCAGCTGATGGGTCAGATCCTGGCAAAGGTCACTGAGGTAACAGCCACGGGGGACCCCCACGCACACCCCCACCTGCAGTAGTTCTCTGGGACCTGAGGGCTGAGAATTGCTGGTACTCCGCACCTCGGGTGGGTTTGGTGTTTCTTCCCTCGGGGCCTTCGTCTCTGACGTGGGAGACAGGAAGGCCTCGGGCAGCTCTCCGGAGTGGCTCAGCCTGGCCGCCTTCTCCCTAGAACCTGCGGACACTGGGTGAGGCTGAGACCAAGTCGGAGCAGCAGAAGGAGCTGTCCTCCTTGGAGCTGCTCAACACTCTCCTCAAGAACATTCATCATGAGGTGAGCTTTGGGCTCAGGAGGGAGGTCACCAGGCCGAGCAAGCAGCCTGAGCAAAGGTCTGGGGGCAGGTGGGTAGCCACGTGAGGAAGGTTCTGGATGGCAAGGTGAGGAATCTGGGCTTTTTTTTTTTGTAATCTGGGAGAGGAGAGTGTCGCACCCATGCCTGGCCAGTTGCTACTACTGAGCTCCAGTAAGAAAGCTGAGAAGGGGCGGGAGCGCTGGCCACCGCGAGAGGCGGCGATGGAGATGCCTGGTGGGCAGCTGTTAGGAGGAAGCCCAGGTGTCCAGGGCTGCGAAGTGGGGGGTGCTGGTGGGCCGTCAGGGTGGGGGCCCAGAGGCAGCTGTGGGTGAGTAGTTCCCCCCAGGTCTGGCCCAAAGGGAAAGGTTTGGGGGTTCTTAGTGTAGACACTGGTCAAAGCCCAGGTGCGGGGTAAGCTCGCCAAGAGGGCGCGGCAGCGGGGAGACGGGGCCAGGGCTTTGAGAATGGCAGGTGGGCTTGAAAAGCTGTGCTCAGAGTGGTAGTAAAAACCAGCAGAGGGGTGTTCTGGAGGCCTATGGGTTTCAGAAATAACCCACTCAGTACATGACAGGGATGGGGAGATGGGAAGCAGGGCTTTGGTGACCATGACGTCACTACGTGGTGCCTTCCATGGTGGGAGGGCCTCCTGGCTGTGGGAGAAGAGAACAGAACCTGGCACCTGGGCCTCTGTCCCTCCTGGGGTAAAAGACTAGTGATTTACGGCAGAAGGAGTGGCTGAGGGGCCACAAGGGGGGGGTGTGGGCTCCCAGAAGGCGTGAACTGGGCAAGGGTGGGAGGATAGGGACCGGTGGCCAGGGAGAGGCCTCTGGTCACCGCTACAGCCACAGCCTTCCCGCCCCTCTGTAGAAGCTGACCGTGGACCTGACCGCCACCCTGGGCGTGCTGCAGAGCCAGCAGCAGAGGCTGCAGCAGGGGGAGCACCTGACCGGGTCCAGCCGCCTCCACGACTTGTACTGGCAGGCCATGAAGGTCCTCGGAGTCCAGTATGTTAGGGATGGGGGCTCCCACCTTGGGAGGGGCTGGGAAGTCCTCATGCTGCCCGTGTTCTGATGTGCACACCCCACCATGAGAGCTCTGGGCAGCTTGGGGACCACAGAGGCTGAAGTCATTTTGCCCTCTCCGCACGCTTCCTTACTTTGCTCACTTCCTCCTAGGCGCCCCAAGTCAGAGAAGAAGGATGCCAAGGAAGTCCCTAAGGACGTGCAGAGCCCCGTTAGCCTGAAGCGCAAGAAAAAGGGGTTCTTGCCAGAGACCAAGAAGCGCAAGAAACGCAAGTCTGAGGGTGCCACGCAGGAGGAGGGTGCCAAGCCCGCAGCCACTGATGGGACTCAGCCCCCCAGCACTGGCAAGAAGAAGAGAAACAAGAAGTCCAAGGTCCCAGCCCAGTCCCAGGTGAATGGGACGCCACCTACCAAGAGTCCAGCCCCTGACCCTCCTGCCACGAGCCCCGACATCCCTGCCAAGACCTCAAAACCACAGAAGAAAAATCGGAAGTTGTCCCAGGTAAATGGAGCCACCCCTGTGTCCCCTGTGTCCCCCACGGAGCCGGCTGGCAAAAAGCATCAGAAGAATCTGCCCAAAAAGGGGGTCTCGGGCAAGTCACCGCAGTCCGCGCTGCCACGGAGGAAGGCCAGGCTGTCTCTGGCCAGCAGGAGCCCCAGCCTCCTCCAGAGCGGGGCCAAGAGGAAGGCCCAGCTGAGAAAGGTGAGGAAGCTCTGAACACCAGCCCTGCCCCACTCACCCTAGAGACTCCGATTTTTTCATCGCAATTTTGATAAACCAGTCTGAGGTACCACTTCCAGCACTGTGGGGAGAGGGCCTGCCGCCAGCCCCCCGAGAGGTCCCGATGCGCTGGTGTTTGGGTGGGTTAGGATGACCCCGCCTCGTGCCCCCTCCCCACCCTTAGGCTGCTTTGCTGCAGGAGCCACCAGGGCATGATTTAAATAGCTTTATTTCTTCATTTACAAGAGGAATATATTTGGCTTCTCTCTTAAGACTCTGAGATTCACAATCAGCAGCTCTAAAAAATAAAGGAGCAGTTTGGCTTCCGGAAGGAAGAGGAAGCAACACACAGACCTGGTTCTTGTACAACAAGAAAACATTGCTGGGGCCCCAGTTGAGGCCGGGGTGGGAGTGGAGGCCAGGCTGGTCTTTGGGGGATCCCACCCCTCCCTAGTCAGGCCCCGCAGGGTGCCCCAGAGCTTGATGGGGAGTGGGTATTCCACCAGTTTACCCACCACTGAAGCCATGCCAGCAACTACAGGCAGAGAGCTTGAAGCTGGCTCTGAGAGACTCCTGCTGGCCACAGGGGCGTCCCCAGACCAGAACCACCTTGATTCCAGTGAAGGTACAGGGAGGGAGTGTGTGGAGCAGAGAGGATGGTTAAGTTCCACCCCAGGGGCCGGCAGCCTGGTGTGAAGTTGGCAGCTGCACCCTGGTGCGTGGCGACTAGGGAGGCATGGTCAGAGGCTGGGTGAGTCCTGGGCTGTGGGGGAAGCAGCAGCCGGTGTTTGCATGGAGGTGGCTCAGGGCGTTGGCCTCTCCCCATGGGCCTCAACCTCTACCAGGCTAATCCCTGGGACAGGAAGCTTAGTGGATGGCTGCTTCCTCTGGCAGCCAGAGCCCTGGCTGCTGCCCCATGGATTCTGGGAACAGTCCCCTGTGCCCTGCCCCTGGAAAGGGGCCCAGCCTGGGGGCAGGAGTCAGTTCCTGGCTTCTGTGGGGGGGGGGGTCATGGAGGAGATGGACAGTGGGGTGCTACAGTGGATCCAAGGAGCCCTGTTAGGGGTGGGGAACCCCCAAGGTCTCAAGCCTGGGGCACAGGTGGTCTGTCTTTGTCACCAAGGCCTTCACCCCTGGTGATGCCCACTCCAAGTCTGGGGATGGTCCCCACCTGGGAGACCTCCAGGCTGAGCTGACAGCCAGCTCAAGGTAGGGAAGACAGCTGTCCTCCAGAGTGACCAGCCTGGCTGGAAGTGCCCAGTCCAACATCCCCGAGGTCAGAGGCTTAGCTGAAAAGCTGTAGTCCTCACGGGCCAGGCCCTTAAGGGCGCCTCAGAGCCTGAAGCGCCGCCCTGCGGCCTGGGCCACCCTTTCTCTGTGCAGTCCATGGGCTGTTGGATCTTCCAAGCTGCAGATAGTGCCTTGCCCAGCAAGCTGGGTAGGAAAATCCAGCCCCCTGGCCCCACGGTCTGGCGAGGGCAGAGACGTCCCCAGGATCACATAGGCCGAGGACAGGCCAGCCTCTCCCCACGCACCCACCGGGGTCTGTCTTCTTCCTGGGCCCCAGGACTCCTGCAGCCCAGACCCAGGCCTGGGAGTCTGACAGCGTGGCTCCAACAGACATAGCCTTCCAGGTCAGTCGAGGACATGGCCTCTGGGAGCCACGGCCACTCAGCAGTCCCAGACCAGAGCCGGTGGGTGCCCAGCTGTGGGTCACACGGAAAGCTTCGGGACAGCCCAGCAGGGCCGGGATGCCGTGGGACACCTCCCAGACTAGGTAGGAGCAAGGGTTCTTCGTTGTCCCAGCGGCACCTGGAGGGAGGGGGTCAGAGATCAGAGGTAGGGGCCAGTTCCAGAGTTTCCCTCCTACACATTCCTCGCTGTTTGGAGAAACCGGCCTTTCTCCGCTTTGGTGGCAGGAAGGGTCTACTGGAGCCAAGGCGTGGGGGCAGTGACCTTAGATCTTGCACTGCTGGGAAGCTGCAGCCCCCAGAGGCCAGGCTCAGAGAACGGTCCAAGTAGTTGTCGGGACCTGGCACTTGGAGGAGGATTCCGGAGGACAGAATCCGGAACAGAGCAGGGAGTTCCTGGCCCGTCCATCCCTGACCTATGCCCCCAGCCCTTCTAAGAAGGGGGAGCCAATTTACTGGAAGAGGGAGCCTGCCTCCCTTGCCCTGGATCCACCAGTCAATTCAGGCAACATTTCGGGAGGAAGAGGACCAAACCCAGGGTTGGGATGTGCTTGGGCAGGTGACTCATGAGGAACTGCCCCTGCTTCCAGAATCTCCCCCATCATGAGCCGAATGCTCCCCCTCTGTGCTAACCCCGCCCCTTCCCTCCCCCAAGGAGTCCCACCCTCAGCTCCCCTGGCCTGCACTCACCGCCTCAGACTTTCACAGATGCTGGCGGCATCACCAGCTGGTTCACCCTGGGGGAGAGACGGGCGGGGGTCAAGGTGGCGGATCAGCGGGGGCCGGGCCTGGGCACTGCTCTGGCACATCGCATCACGGGGGCCGGTGGACCGGACGTGCTGGGCAGGGACCTCGTCAGCCCCAGAGGGAGGTGGGAGAGCCCAGGGGTGGGGAGAGGAGAGAGAGGAGTAAAGAGGAGAGGAGAAAGAAGTCAGAAAACAAGAGGAAAAAGCAAAGGTGGGGTCCCAGCTCTGAAAACTCTTAATTCCAGAGAAAAGCTCAAGTATAGAACCACCAGGAGAACCCCAGGTCATCACGGGCTCCCCACCTGTGAGCCGGAGGCAGCATCACGAGGCTGGAAGGCTCAGGGGCTGAGGACCCCATCAGCCAGGTGACCCACCCGCCTCACCCGAGTTGGGGCTGTCACAGCCGAGGCAGCAGGCCCACCCCCAGCCCCACTCACTGCTGCTCAGCCTGGGCGCGGTCGCTGAGGAAGAAGAGTGCGGTGGCGAGGAAGAACATGCCACCCAGGACCACGACGAAGGGGCAGAGCATGAGGGCGTAGCCCAGGCTCAGGAACTCCCAGAGCGGGGAGTCCTTGGTGCTCTGGCGGATCAGGTCGGAGATCTGCGGGATGCTGGGCGTCAGGGCAGGGCCACCTCCCCAAGCCCGGCTCCCAGCCTGGTCCCTCCCGCCCCCACTACTCACAAAGCCGATGAGGTAGGGGCTTCCGGCGTCCCCCAGCAGGTGGGAGGTGAAGCTCTGCAGGGCCACAGCAGTGGCCCGTCTTGTGGGGATGACCACACACTGTGCAGGAAGCGGCAGGTCAGAGGCCAGGAGAGCCAGGCGCACCCACCTCGCCCCATCCCAGAGGTCACACTTCAGAACCTCCCACAGCCTCAACTCACTCTGCCTGGTGCCTTGACCCCTCTCTCCTGGGCCCTCCCCTCTCCTCCAGCTCCTGAGACCAGGCTGCCCTTGACAGAGAGCCAAGTGCAGAGGTCACAGAGAAACCAAGGCCCGGAGGCACACAGATCACACGTGGAAGCCCAAAGCTCACACGCGGGGCCAGGCAGCCCTGGGACCAGAACCCTGGCCTCAGTCCTGCCCCCGCCTCCCCACACACTGAAGACCCACCTTGGTTCCCCCTCCACGAGGACCTGCCAAAGCCTAGGCTGACTGGGGTGGCCGACAGTGGTCAAGCAGGACCCTGCCTGGGAGAGCCTCCACTTTTACACCGAGCACTGATTGCCGGAGCCACGGGCCCCCAAAACCCCACCAGACCAAGCAGACCCTGACCCACAGGGTCTGTAGCTCCAAAGCTGGGCGGGCCAAGGTCACACGAGAGGCATTGGTGGCAGAGGAGCCACCTCAGTGGGTGCCCTGGGCAGCCCCCTGCCCCTAGCTCCAGCTGCCTTATCTAGTCAGAGCCCCGACCCCTGTGGACAGTCTGTGCAAGCAGCCAGTGCCCACCCAGCACCCCACTACTCGGGGGGAGGGGAGACCTGGATTTCATGGCCCCATTTCCAGGAATAATTAGTCACTTGGCTGTGACACTTAATAATAAAATGGGACACAATTTCCCTGGGACCCAAACCCTGTCAGCAGCTGGGGCTGCCCCTAGGGGTGGAGACAGAAGAGGAGGTCCTGCCCGCTGCCAAGGACACTTGATTCAGACACACTCCCTTCATCCAGCGTGTGCAGGGACCCCCACCCCACCCCTGCCACCCTGTCTGGCTCCATGTTGGGGCACAGATTTGAGTCAGTCCTCCCCCACCACCACCTCCCAGCCTTGGACTAGTGGGGAGAGAGGAACACCTCCAGATGAAGCAGATACGCAGGGGAGCTGGGGTGGGGCAAGGCAGGCTTCCTGGAGGAGGGGAGCTAGCAGAGACCCGATGCCCAGGCAGATGCCCAGGCAGACTCTGATCTGCAGGCTGACCCACACTGTGGCACCAAACCCCAAGCACCCTGAAGGTCGACCCATGAGTACTTCCTCCCCCTGCCCCCAGGGCCCACCCTGGCACCTCCAAGATACCCTCCCCACTGCTGGTCCCCTGCACTCCCCTTCTCCCAGTCCTCTCCTGGCCTTGACTTGGAGGATCCCTGAGGACAAGACCAGATGTCACCCCTGATTGCCACCCCCTCCAGACTCCTGCCAGTTAGCAGGGCCACAACCCCCTCCTGGTTCCTCCTGGGCTGCACCCGTCCCCGCCCAAGGACCCAAGCCCCTGCCACCACTCAGACGGCCCTTTGTCCCCGGCCGGCTGGTCTGGAGCCCATTGTTGGCCCTGTGAAGACGGCCTCTGTCTGCCCGGCCCAGCCGCAGGCACTCCAGCAGGCGCGCCTGGGACCCAGGCTGAGCTGGGAGGGCAGAGTCCATGGAAGCTAAGGCCCTGGGGGAGGAGCGCTGGCAGGCAGCACCACCTCGGTGCCAGCCTGGCACTGCCAGCCTCCCAGCCACAAACCTGAGCCTCCAGACATCCCCCTCCCCACCCACAATCCCCATGTCCTTCCCTTCTGCCTACTCAATCCTCTGATGCGAGGCCCTGCCCCGATGCAGACCCCAAATCTCCGATCCCCTCCTCCGCCTCCACGCTCACGTTCCCAGTACGCCTTCGTTCCCACGCACCCCCGACAAGCCCTGCCGGCTCTGCCCCCTCTTCACCCGCCCCGGCCCCGTCAGCATGAGGCAACCTTGGCCTGCCTCACCATGAGGATGTCCGCAGTGATGGCCCAGTTAGAAAACAGCAGCGTCTCCCCAACAAAGATGCAGATCTGCCCGGGAGAGAGCAGAGCGACCATCAGGGGGCGCTCCACCCAACATCGACCCCAGACTGCCCCCTGCACCCCAGCTGCTGGCAGGGAGCCCCTCCAAACCTCCCACTCCTCCTGGCAGTCAGGCTGACAAGGAATTTGTGGATTATCTACAGGCTTCAGGTCAGGTCCACAGCTGTGAAGGACACCCAGAGCTCTGGGCAGGCCCTGGACAGAGCAGGGGCAGGCAGAGGGCTGGAGCCTCCCCGTGGGCAGGGAGGAAGGGCCTCTACGAGTCGGACTGCATTTCCTTTCCCAGGACCCAGCTCCCCCCAACACCCTGGCACCCCTACTGCACTCACATAGGCCCCCACGATGCTGCTCTTGGCAGCCACGAAGATGAGGCAGATGAAGATGGCAGAGCCCAGCATGCCCACCGCACACACCAGTGGGTCGGCCCGCTGGGTCCTCAGGCGGCACCAGCGCGTGGCTCCTGCCCCAGTGACCACACCGAGAAAACCCGTAAAGCAGGTGATGGCGCCAAAGATGAGGCTGTGTGGACAGAGGGCAGTGGGGCCGGGGTGAGAGGGGCAGGGCTGGGGTAGAGGGGCTGGCAGCAGCCCTCACCACCCCGCCATCCCTGCCCCCGCTCGCCGGCCCCACCTGTCCCTGGCCCCACAGGGCGGGTTGCTGCACGTCTCTGCCGTCTTCTGCACGACTTGGGCGCGGTGCAGGTAGAGCGGGATCCACATGCCCAGGGCCCCTGTGGCGAAGGACACAGCCGACGTGGCCAGGGAGGAGAAGACGTAGCTGCGGCTGGGGAGAGGCCGGGGCAGCGACACTGAGCGGGGACCAGCACCCCTGCAGCTGGCAGACTCGGGCCCAGGCGTCGGGGCCCGGGAGGCAGGCTTTTCTCCCTCACACCTTCCCCATAAGGAACGGAAGGCCTCAGATGCCTTTCCTGCCAGCCCCAGTAGTGAGGACTCCAGCTTCAGGAATAATAAACACTAGTAACCAAAATGTCCCTCTCAGCCCTGTGGGCAGTGGAGACAGAGGAGGAAGTCTGGCCAAGAGCTCTGGGTGGGCTGCCCTGCGAACAGGGGTCCTCATCTCGGCACCCCTCCCTCCTCCCACCAGACCCCTCCCAGCACCACTCACTTTCGGATCAGAGCCTTCATGTCTCGGAGCCACGATGTCCGTGCCTTGAGCTGCCCACCGAGCTGGTCAGCATGGCCTCTCTTAGTGGCCGGGACCAGAAAGAGGATGAGTGTTCCTGTGATCATGCCCAGGATGGGGGACACCTGGCAGGGCAGGGGGCACCAGGTTAGAACACCAGGGCCCAGATGTCTGTTTCTGCTGCAGCAGAATGGCGCGGTGCAGGCCAGCCGCGCCTTCCCTGGGCCCCGGGTTTCTCCTCTGGGCTAGAATCCCCCCAGCCTTCCTGACTGGGCAGAGCCACTGTGGGTAAGGTCAGCACAAAGGGCTTGGGGGCTCCAAATGGGCTCTCCAGACCAGGGGCAGATGGGAGAGGAGACTGAAAGTAGAAGGGAGGGAGGGATGGTCAGATGGATAGAGGAGGGAGGACAGATGGCTGGATAGATGGACAGAGAGATGGATGGATAGATAATGGATGGAACAAAAGGAAAGCAGGTATATAGGCAGATATATAGAATGGTAACTGGGAGAGGAGAGTTCCTGGGGGCAAGGAACCAGATGCCATCTCCTGCCCACCTCTTTGGGTCTAGGAAAGTTTCCCAGGCCAGCTCCTTGTCCTGGGGGGTGCTGGGAAGGGACTGGCTGGGCATGAAGCTCCCAGCTCATACATCAGGTAGGTTATCATTTGCAAGGGGCCCATGTGAGCCCCAGGAGATCAGAGGCTCAGGGGCCCCTTTGGGTCCTCCTTGCATCCAGCCCAAGAACAGAATCTCCCAGGCCCCAGGCCTCCTTCCAAATGGAAGGGGCTCATCTTGACAGCCTGGATTCCAATATACCAGCTCCTCCACCAGCTCACGAGAACAGGGAAATCAGTCCCCAACCCCACCAGGCCTGGAGCCCATGGGCTGGGGAGTTCCTCTCCTTTTGCCCCCTCCCACCCTCAATCAAGAAATTCCACGGAGGCTGCTTCCTTCCTGCTTTTGAGGAAAAAACACTTTGTCTCAAGCTTCCTCTCCTATGCAAGACTGGGGATCTCTGTTTCCTCTGATTTCCCCCCTGTCCTGAGGCCTTGGCTGACTTTTGTCGAATCCTCCTGCAGGACAGGAAGTGGCTCCAGACCCCGGGGGCTCCCACACAGAAGCCTTGTCTCAGCCCCACCCTAGCGCGGTGCCGGGGCTCAAAGCAGGAAGTGCCATCGTGGACCTGGAATTTCCTGACATGGTGGGGGAGTCCTTCGTCCTCTCAGACTGGGGGCCCCTGAGGATGGCAGGGCTGAGTCTGGCTCCCTGACACCTCAATGTGGACAAATCTAGAAGACCCAGGTATGAAGCCTGGAGTCCAAGGCCTGCGTCCCAGACTGGGCTCTGTCCCTGAATCTCAGGGTGACCCTAGGCAAGAGCTGGTCCGGGACTGTCCTTACCCGCAAGGCCCAGTGCCAGTCTCCAGCCGCCTGCTTCACACTGGAGCCGGTGATGTAGCCCAGGCCGCTGCAGAGAAGATGGGCTCAGTCAGGCAGGGATGGGTGGGGTGTGCGGTGGCACAGAGGATGCTCTCTGGTCTAAGAGGCCGCCTGCCCCTGCCACCCAGCCAGCCAGGGAACTGGTCCAGGCGTTTCTCAAGTCACAGGGGGCCAAACCTCAGGGAGAGGGAGTAGTCAGAAATCCAAGGGGACATTGCCCAGATCCTCACCTGCCCAGTGGGATGGCGAAGTAGAAGACAGACAGCATTAGTGTGCGGGTGTTCTTGGTGAAGAGGTCGCCGATGATGGTGGGTGCGATGGTGGAGTAGCTGGCCTCGCCGATGCCCACCAGCCCGCGAGACAGGACCAGCAGCCAGAAGTGCTGTGGGGGAGGGGTGGAGAATGTTGGAGGACTGTCCTGCTCCTCTGCCTGCTCATCTTTGGTCCCCATTTTGCTCCCCATCCCCTGCAGGGTCTAGGAGCCAGGATAGAGGATGGAGTCCAACCCCTAGACCCTCAGGCCACTCCAAGCCTGGTTTCCCACTCTGTGTAGTGGGCCTGCTGGCTCATGCTGGGGTGAAGCTGGACTTTCTCAAGTGGAGAGTTGTAGGCATGGCCTAGACAGGACCCCTCTATCCCCACAAGCATGCGTCTCCACAAGACATAAGCCTGCGTCTCCACTGCCACCCCCACCAATTGAGAGACCTCCTCTCTGGATTCTGACCCCACCTTGGGAGCCTCAAGCCACCCCAACTCTGTGTCCCACCCCCTGGCAGAGAAGCTGGGCTGACCCTGGCAGCATTGAAAACCCAGTGTAAATGGGGAGTGGGCAGGGCAGCCCAGTGAGCTCAGTGCCCCTCCCCCATACACACATCAAAGAGCAAAGCGCAGCTGAGCTGGGAAGGGTGGGGCCATGCCAGCTGCCAGTGGTACTAGCCCTTTGATGTGGACCCAGCCCCTCCATCCCCCCAGCTGCCCCGGGCCTGAGAACCAACATGGGTCATCTTTCCCCAGCCCCACCCGGACCACCCATCCGGCCAGCTTCACCCACGTCCAGCCATCCTCCGGGTCTCCCTGCTGCCCTCTCTCCATCTGCCCATATCTTTCCTGGTCCTCTCTCTGCATCACTGGTCCTGCCCATCCATCTCTGAGCCTCTCATTTCCATAGTCCATTCACTCTCACTCTCCATCTCCGAGCCTTCCCCTGGCTCCTTGCCTCTGCTTCTCTCCCTGAGAATCATCTGCCCACAGCCTTTGCCTATTTTTCTGTTGGGTTATCTTTCTTGTATGTGTTTCTACTATATACTATTTTATAGATCATGGGTATTAACCTTTAAGATAGGTTATAAATATTTTAGGTTATCTTTCTTTTCCACTTTGTTTACAGGAGGTTTCACCATACAGAAGCTTTATTTTGTGTTGTTTGATTTGATGCTGTCCAATCTGTTGATTTTTCCTTTAATGGCTTCCCTTAAAGGATTTCATGTCTTGCTCAGGAAGGGCTAGCCCATACCAGAATAATAAAAAAAATTCTCTTATCTTTTATACTTGTTATATTTGAGAAAGAGAATGAGGGCAACTTCCTCATTCGCCTCAGTATAAGGGCAGGCAGATAAGACCTCTTGGACAAGAGATCTCATTGATTCCCCGCCCCCTCCCCCAGGAACCGGCTATACTGTGCGGTGGTTTTTGATTCTCTCTACCTTTGCTTGCACATACACATACCAAGGAGCAACATTTAGGGTCCCCTGTGTGCTTTTAAAAAGTAAACATCAAAAGACCATGCACACATCTTGTCCCACAACTTGCTTTTTTTTCCCCTCAGCCTCTGGAAAGCCATTTGTGTTGGTTAATTCTAGATCTAGTTCATTCATTTGCTGCCAAGAATCTCACAGTATGAATACACCCCATTCTATCTGGGCATCCCCCAGTCATGGTCATTTAGATTCTCTCTCTTTCTCTCTCTCTCTCTCTCTTTTTTTTTTCTATTACAAAACTGCAACAAGCATCCTTAAGATGCACCTGTCACTTCGGGTCCACGAGTTGGGAGTTTCTACACAGTGCGTACACCTCGAAGTAGAAGACTGGGCTGTGGGATGCACACAGAATTTTACAAAATCCTGCCATTTTACTCTTCAAAGAGGCTCTCCCAATTTACACTCCCACCAGCAGCTTTAATAACACTTGGTATTGTCAGCCTTTTTAATTGCTGCCAATCTGATGGGTGTGAAATGGTACCTCATTGTGGTTTTAATTTGCAGTGCCCTGATTATTTGAGAAGCCAGGAACCATCTCTTTCTACATCTACTGCCCATTTGGGGATCTTCCCCTGGGATTGCCCATCACTACCCTTTGCCCGTCTTTCTACTGGCTTATTTGTCTTTTTCTTGCTGATTTATCATTCTAGATTTTTATAGTTTGCTTTTTTTTTTTTCACTTTACTCTCACCTGTCTGGGACTGATTTTGAAGTATGGTTTGAAATACAGCCCAGACTTTATCATCCACCCAGATGTATCCATTCTCTCAAAACCATTTATTTGAGATGCAACTTTCATCCCACTCACTTCCCAGAGAGGAGGACACTGTTGCCTTGATCTCTGAGTTTATTCTTCTGCTGTTTTAGTTAGAATAGCTGTATTGTGATAACTGATAAGGCAAGGCCCTTTCATTGTTATTTTTCACAATGTTCTTGGCTATTCCTGGGCACTTTCTCTGCCAAATTAACTTCAGAATCACATTGCCAATGTCCACCAAAAACCCCCGTGGGACTTGGATCGTGATTGCAATGAATTTCTAGATTAATTGGGGGTGAGCTGTCTATTCCTCTGTCTGCCTCTGCTCATCTCTCCCCAGCTCCCCCTCCCTTCCACACACCCAGAGCGGGGCCCAGCCTTGACATCGTGGTCCTGGGGTCAAGCCCAGAAACAGCCCTGGAGGCCAGACGATCAGGGCCCTGGCCCAGGAAGGACAAGGCCCTGAGGGGTCCTAGAAGCTTCTTCTGGTCCCGTCCCCATTTTTGACTGGCCGTCAGGCTCTACCTGACACTCCAGGTCTGGAGTTAACCAGGCCTGACCCTCCTCTGTGAAGCTGCCCTGTGAAGCAAAGTTGTATCCCCTAAACCTACCAATTCTCTCTGCCCTCACCTCCAGCCTCCACTGGATTCAGTGTAAATCTGACTCACCACTGCCCTACTTCAGACTCTTCCAGGGTCCATATCTTCCCTCAGGAGGAAGCTCAGGCCTTCCAACCCGGCCTTCAAGGTTCCTCCTGATCTTATCCTGCCTTCCTTTCCAACCAAAGCCCTCTCCTCCTCCAACTATCAACACACTCCATCATTTCTGCATCCCTGGGATGGCTCCCTCTGCCTGTGCTATCTTCACCGAAAGGCCTAATCTCCCTGACTTGCCTGCCCAGCTCAAATGCCACCTCCTCCAGGAAGTCTTCCCTGACCACATGGATGTCAAGAGCCTGCTCTCTCTTCAGTGACGACTTTCAGCACTTCGCACATCTTGAAGGCTCTGAGCATGGGAGCTCCTGTCACATCTTCCCACCCCTAGCCTGGGTGCTCCCAAGGATGGGGCCAGGGTCTCCTCCTCTGTCCACTAGGCTGAAAGCTCCCTGAGGATAGATCCTGGTCTCCTCCCCTTCTTCCTCTATGTCCCTCTACAGTAGCCATCATGTGATTGTCCTTGCTCTGTTTGAACATCCCTACTGATGGGACACTCACTACCTCTCAAAGCAACATACCTCCTCTTTGGAAGAAAGAGCAGAAATAATGATTTGTTGAACACCTGCCATGTGTCAGGGTCTGAACATTCATTAGTTCAGTTATTTCTCAAAACAAACCTTCAAGCTGAGATGTATTATACCCATATTCAAGATGCGGAAACTGAGACTCAGAAAAGTTAAGGAAGTCTCTCCAGATCACAAAGCTGAGTGGGCAACAGAACTGGGATATTCAAACCCAGAACTGTGGGAGCCAAGCAAGAAACATCTTCCTTATGTTGAACTGATGTTTACCTCCCTATGACTTTGACCCAGGGAGTTGGCTGGTCTTCGGACAAACAGCAAAGGCCCAGAGAAGGGTAGTGACTTACCTAGGGTCACACAGCAAGATGATGGCACAGCCAGGTCTAGAACCAAGGGTCCTGACTCCTTGGCCAGCCTTGCTCGCCCTGTTTCTTGCATCTTCCCAAATCAGAGGCAGCTCAGAGAGAGTCAGGATGCCACAAGGGGCTGTGAGTCCCTCAGTTCAAGGCCAGCACAAGAAAGGCCCCACATGTAGGACCAGTGTATAGAGGTACCCAAAGACTCCCTTATCCCACTGCACTTGGAAGACACTGTGTGGGATTTGAACAAAGGGTCTGGAACCCCAGTCTAGACTAGTACAAGTCAATCAGACTAGCCACCCGCTGGAGGAACCAGGACACACGGACGGGACACGCAGTGGTGCCGGGTGGGAAGCCCGGGCAGGCCTCACCTGCTGAGGGATGAAGGAGCTGGAGAACGTGACCGCCGACCAGAAGAAAATCCCGCAGCTGAGGATGACCTTCCTGTTGAAGCGGTCGCCCAGGTAGCCAAAGATGGGGGCAGCCACCATGAAGCTGCAGATGAACACTGTGCAGGGAGAGGAGAGCTGCAGGGGTGGGGCAGGGGCCCGCGGCTGAGCCCACCAGCCCGGATCGCCCCAGCTTGAGGCCAAGGGCCCGTGAGACGAGGCTGGGCCTGGGCCAGGGGCTCAGGAAGCAGCCCTCAGTCCCGCCAAGAGGGGCAACCTCGGCCGGGCCTGGGCCCAAGGGAGGCGGGACAGGCCCTCTGGGTTAGGGTGACCCCACGCCTCCATCATCTTTGGTGTCCAGCTGCAGGTGAGCCCTTTGGGTACTTTTTAAAAGAGTAAATATTTGTTTATTGAACACTTTTTAGGTGTCAGGAGCTTTGCCGGGGGCTCAACACACAGCATTTTGTGTATCCTTCCGACCCCTGTCCCACCTCACAGATGGGGAGACACTAAGAGAAGAGAATGACTTGCCCAAGGCCCCACAGGTGGTAAATGCCCCAGTGGGGATTGGACACTCTGTCTGTCTGACTCCAGAGCCAGTGTTCCTTATACTTGGCCACACTGCTTTCCTCATTATACTTGAAGAAGAGGTTCAGAGAGGGAAAGAGGCCTATCCAAGGTCATACCGCAGATTGACGCAGAACTGGACCTGGAACCCCAGGTCTCCTACCTGCCAGGTAATACAGCCACCCTCACTCCCAGCCGACTGCAGAGGCTTCCCTGACATTTTGAAACATTGTCATTCATTTGTTCATTCACCCATTCACTCATTTATTCATTCATCCTTTCATCCATTCAATAAAGACAAAAATTCCATTCTAGTGAGAAACAGACCATAAAATAAAAAAGATGGTACATCAGGGGGTGACTAGTGCTGAGGAGGGGAAAAGGACAGAAACAGGATATAGGAAATGTGTGCACATGAGAGAAAGACAACAGATGTTACAGTTTTAAATAGAAAGGTCTGAGAAGGTGACATTTCAGCAAAGACCAGGAGGAGACGAATCTTGCAAATATTGGGTAGAGAATAGCAAGTGCAAAGGCCCTGGAGCAGGAGTGCACTTAGCATGTTTCAGGAACAACAAAGAGGCCAGAGTGGCTGGAGCAGAGGGACCCAGGGGAAAGGCCAGATAGGATAGGGCCTTGTGGCCAACTGTGGTGACTGTGGCTTCCATGGGTGAGAAAGGAAAACACCAGAGGATGCTGACAGAGGAGAGCTGTGACCTGGTTTTGTTCTTCCAGAACAAGAGAGCAGCAGTCTTAGAGGACCCTGTGGGGACGGCGCTACCAGTGATGGGAGGGGCCTTGGAGGTCCCAGGTGGGGGACGAAGAGGCCAGCAAGGCAGGGCAGGCACTAGGCCATGTCATGAGGCAGCCCCAGATTCCCCCTCCCAGAAGGCAGTCCCACAGCTGTCGGGCAGATGGCCAGACAAAGGCCCGGTGGGCAGACCCGGCGGCCAGTTGGCCGGCCTCTGACCACCAAGCTGGCTGCTCCCTCACAGACGTGAGTCCCTAGGAGGCAGGCCGGACTAGAAGAGACCGAGGGTGCTGAGGAAGGAAAGGAGGAAGTGGACAAGAGGGCAACGGGCTGGGCTGGAACAATCTGACTGTCTCTTACCTAAATGAACAGGACGTGGGTGTATGAGTGCGGGGGGAACCTTTTAATCCCAACTGTGTGATTGGAGCCTCGGGCAGAATCAGCGAGTGATGCCCGAATCTAGACACCAGAGACATACTGCCTGGGCTTGAATTCAGCTCTGTTCCTTCCCAGCTGGGTGACCCTGGGCAGACCACAAACCTCTCTGTTCCTCAATTCAGTGCTGTGCTGATAAACATTTAACGACTGGTCTTCCAAAAAGGGAGGAGCCCTGATGTGCAGTGTTTGCCCGTTTTCATGGTGCAAACATTCCCACGATGGCCTGATTTCAAGCTACCAATATGATGTCACTAATCAGGGTTGGGAAGAGACATGCAGTCACACAGCGCTGCACATGTAGTTCTACCATCCAGGTACAATGGGCATAAATAACCCTGAGAAAATAAATAACGCTAGATAATAGCAAAACGTAGTAAAATCATTAGGGAGGGGTGAATTTTGAGTATTTGTTACCTTTGTTTTTAATATGTAGTTTAATTGTAAGTTTACATAATTTAGTTTTTAACTAGTGGTTGTATTTAACAACAAGCTCACACAATTCCTGAAAATTTAACAATCAGTTCTCATGAGCCTGTCTAAGCCAGCTCCCGTGCGCCAACTTCCTCATCTGTAAAGTGAAGATAAAAATAGCAGCTCCTTGCTTGCTCTGAACACTGGATGAGATAATGCTTACAAGGTGCTTCATGCCACGCCCTGCCTGGACTGGGTCAGCCTTGGTCAACACTGGGCCCTTGTTTAGATTAGTCAAGGTGGAAATTATTTCCTCATATCTCGAAAAAGAATTTTTCCTGCTGGCTCTGTCTCCCAGGACCTGCCTGAGATCAGATCAAGATATGGGCAGGAAAGAGATTTCAGTCTCATCAGGACTCACATGTGTTCAGGGCAGGAGGAAGAATTGTTCCGTCTATGCCTGTCTGTGTTAGATGGGGAGTGCGCAGAAATAATCAGAGTAGGAGTTGCCCCTTGTCTGGCCAGAGAGCAGATCCTGCCCGTGGGTTGCCCAGCTTAAAAAGTTAAAATGCCAGGGAAACAGCAAAGAGGGCCAAATCCTACCAGGACAGTGAAGGGAGGCTTCATGGAGGCAGTGATGACAAAGCTGGGCATTAAAGGATGCATAGGAGTTTACCGTGATAATACTTAAAATCAAGGATGCTAAAATACAAATTACAAATCGTACAAGACTGTAAAATGATGAATGAAGCATGATGCTTATTGTTAATAATAACTGCAGTTACCCATTTATGGAGAGTTTATTACAGGCAAGGCCCAGGGATGTGCCCTGGACACAAACACAGATTATCTCATTTGATTCTCACATTATCTTCATCTCACAGAGGACACGGTAGAGGCGAACAGGAGTGACATCGCGCAGCTAATGTGTGGCTGAGCCAGACTTTAAACCCCGATGCACCTGACTCCAGAGTCCCAGCTCTAAATCACACTTCAGACTGCCAGGCTAGAACAGAGGACGATCCCAGCTGATGTTCCAAAGGTCAGAGACAGTTCAGGGTGTGCTGGGGACAGTGAGAAAGCCGTCAGGCTGCAGGATGGGATGGGGATGGAGGGGCAGTGGGAGGAGGGTGGAGGGAGACCCTAAGCCCTAGGACCAGGTTTGGTGGTTAATTAGAGGGTCGTGGAGATCCACACACAGCATGCTCTTCTCCCCTTCAAGGGGGAGCACTGGACAAGCCGCCACTGGGTGGGTGGACAGGGGCTGAAGGAGTTGAGCCAGGCCTTGGCCAGACCTCGGCCATCTTGGTCCATCCCTACCCTCTTGTCTGGAGCGGAACAGGAAGGCAGCCGCCCTCCCCCACACTTCCCCCCTGGCTTTCTGCCAGCTCGTTTTCATGGGCAGAGGCATCCAGGACTATGGATGTACTCCTGTTGGAATGGCCACACCCTGTCCCCACCCCCAGCCTGCCAAAGGTCACCAAATCCCAGCCTGAGCTTTCCTGTCGGTCCCATTTTACAGCTGGGGCCACTGACAGGTGGAGGAACTTGCCAAAGATGACACAGCAACCCTCCTAACCCTGGACTCCCTTGTCCCTAAGTGCCTGCCCCTTGGGGACAAAGGAGTCCAAAGTCAGGAGGGAGACACAATCCATCTTTACGGCCCTGCCCTCTGCTCAGGGGAGACAAGAGAAAGGACCTCTCCCGGGCCTCAGGGATGTCACAGGCCAGCAGAGAGGCCTGAACACAACCAGGTAGGGACAGGAGGAAAAACGTTCTGGCAGAAGGTTCCAGCACAGACAAAGGCCTGGACATGTGAACCTTGTCCCAGGTTGGGGCGCAGAGGCTTCTCCAGCCAGCAAGCAGCTCTGCTGAAAATAAAGACCAGCTGGGGCTGGAAGCTTCCCGGGCCCACCAGCCCCAGCCCCTAGTCTTTGTTTATTTGAGGAGAGCTTTCTGGGCAGACTGGCTGCCCCTCCCCTGGTCTCGGTAGGGCCGGCTTTCCCAACACGAGGACATCCTGTGGTTGGGGTGTGGGGAGGCCCTCAATCAGCTCACGTATGCTGAGCCCACAGGTCTGGGACAATGGAGCAGCAGGCAAGGAGCCAGGGCACGGGGGCAGGGCCGCAGAGGACAGTGTGGGAGGAGTCAGAGCCCCTGGCTCAATCAGGAGAAGCTGGGTCTGAGCCTCCTCTGTAAGACTGGCGATGCCCCCTCCCCACAGGGCCAGCAGGAGGTCATCACGGAGACAGGGCGTGGACAGCATACCTAAGGCGCAGTCCACTTCTCGTGGTGATCCCAGGGCTCAGCAGGCCGGCTGAAGGCCTTCTCCCTGTGGGCCCGCTGAGGAGGCCAGAGCCCAAAGCTCTGAATAACCCCACTGGAAGTTCTGTACCCTGGCAGGCAGTCCCAGGACCCAGCCACCCACCCCCAGCCCCCCAGGGCTGCAGAAATGGTGGTCCCAACGCAGGAGTGGGTGAGGTCTGTGCTGGGGGAGCCCCAGGCTCCCACACTGTGGCCTTGGAGCTCACGTCCTGCCCCACCTCGGCATGGGCTGAACCAGGGCTATTTTTACAAAGTCTAGATCCGGCCGATCTGTTATTTGGAGAAGACTCGCCATCCGCCACATCCTGTGGGCAGGGAGGGTACTCAAGCAGGCATAGGGTGGGCAGGGGTCCGGCTCTGCCCGAGTACACTGTCTGCCCAGAGGATGTGGAGGAGGGCAGCCCAGGCCAGCCAAGACGAGAGGAAAGACCCAGGAATGCCTGGCTTCATCAATGCCTGGAAGCCCACCACGCTCAGACTTCCTGCAGGAAGAATGGCAAACATTCCTCCACTCAGGATATAAACTCTACGTTGGCCACTCAGGCTTCAGGGAGAGAGGTTCTTGGGCCTCCTTCCTGACAGGAGGGCCCTGGGGGGAGAGCCACAGGGGCTGCCCAGCTTTGCCTTCAGAACTCGGGTCTTTGCCAAAGAGGAAGGATGAGGGAGCGAGGCCAGAAGGAGACTCAGCCCCAGAGCAAAGGCGTCGTCTGGTTTCAGTCTGAGCTGGCTCTTCCTCTGTCCCCTCTCCCCGCTCCCCATCCTGGCACTTCCTCGAGATGCCACGAACCCCAGCCCTGAGTGGCCTTCCAACTTCCTCTGCCATCCATTCCCACATTTGGCCCCAGAGTGAACCTCCTGCTGCACACATCTTACAAGGACCTGCCCTGCTCCGAAAACTTCTCTGGCTCCCCACTTCCTCAAGACAAAATCCAGATGCCTTTCACCATCAAACTCTGCTGTCCAGCCTCCTCCCCTTCCACTCTCCCCACACTCCTGCCCACAACTGACAAAACACATATCAGAGCCAGCAATGCCACAACCTCCACTCTCACTGCCCCCTTCCCCAGAGTTGCATTTATGCTGATTTCCTCAGATCCAGCTTCTAATTTGCTTATTTTCTCTTTAACTGGGTCTAATCTACTTGTTAACTTGGCTAATTATTACATTTTTTTTACTTTAACACTATATTTTTCACTTCTGGAATCTCGATCTTTTAAACATCTCCCTGTCCTTTTTTCTTTTTTTAATAATGTGCTATTCCTGTCTTATAAACTCTACTCTTTCTTTACAGTTTTGAATGTTAAGCATAAAGTCCCTTCAAATGAGTCTATTCTCTGCAATTCTTCAGAAGTTGGTTTCTCCATTTCCTGGGCTGGTGGACTGTCTCCCACAAAAGTAGGAGCAAAAGTGTGAGAGCACACTCATTTTGAACTTGGGTTTGTCTTCAGTGGGACTTGTCGTCTGTGTCCCGTGCCAGCCCCGGGTCATGAAGGCTTCCCTAAAGAGCAGTTTGGGATTTGCCTCCACTGGGGTCCCTCCCTGCAGAAGTGGTGGAATTCCCAGGTCTGTACACAGCAGGGGCTGGACTAGGCTCCCCGCACAAAATCAGAGCCAGGAAGGAGACGTCCTTTCACGGGTGGGAAAACTTCCCACTGGCCTGGGGACACAGCTTGAAATCAGGAAACTTACCCTGGGCTCTGGGTGGAAACTGAATCACCCCTGCAATACAGAGCAAAGAAATCTCCAAGCCCTGAAACTAGGCCAGACTTGTCATACTTTGATGAACCTGGGTGATGGCTATACGTAAATGTGTTATACTAGTCTATGTTTTACATGTATTTACATTTTTTCAGGATAAAAACGTTTACATTAAGAATACTGTAACAAGCTTCTAAGACACACACTGGGCCCCGCCTGCCTGCAGTATCAGCTCCCACCCCTGTGTTTGAGTTCAACTCTTTCCTTCTGGCACCTGGAAATTTCCCTGTTAGCTTTAGCTTTCAAACTCAACTCTGTCATTTAATTATGTTTTCTTGGCATATTTTATCCAGCTTGGAGGGGGGAAAAACATCTGACAAACTAACAAGCTGACTGGAACTCCTTTTTCCTGAACAAACTCCAACTCATCCTTCAAAGCCCCACTTAAATGTCCCCTCCTCGGGGACGTCTTCTTCACCTGCTACCAGGCACAGCTAGGTGCACATTCACTACTACCACCGCCACCACCCTGCCCTGCGTTCCCATAGTCCCCCAGGGTGGGGACTGGATACATCTACTCCTATAGTAAAAGATGTCCAGGGGGAAGGTATAGCTCAGGTGGTAGAGCACATGCTTAGTATGCACAAGGTCCAGGGTTCAATCCCCCAGTACCTCCTCCAAGGGTAAATAAACCTAATTACCCTCCCCCTGCCCCCTCTCCTCCCCCCAAAAAAACAAACAAAAGGAGTACACCTGAGCGCCGGGACAGAGTCCATGGCAGAGCCCAGTACAGGGTCTGCCAAGCAGTGGGTTTGGCAGCAAGACCCAAGAGCTGTAATTCTGCCCTGGGCTCTCACAGAGGCCGAGCTACGGCCACTGCAGGGACCTCAGGGGCCAACTCAGAACTAGCAGCCACCTGCGGGGGGCTGCCGAAATCAGGCTCTTCCCAAGCCAGCTTTCAGGCTCTCGTCCCAAGCAGGGGCAGGCCCAGGCCGAACCCTCAACCGCCCCCAACCCTGCCTCCGGGCCCAGCAGCCCCTGGTGCCCACAAATAAGCAGGCAGGCAACCCAGCTCTCAGCCCTGGCCCTTTGATCTGGGCAAGCAGCAACACCTGGCTGGCGCCCTCCCCCTGGCTCCGACCTTATCAGGGCTTGGGGAAGAGACAGGTGCCTGGGGCCCGGGCCAATTAGGTGATTTACTTGGTAGCCCGCTGAGTCACATCCTGGTCAAGCTCGCCTGGTTTCTTGGCTCATTTGGCCAAAGGGGCAAGGACACTCCAGGGAGCCATCCCAGCTGTGTCCGGGGTAGGCGGCAGGGTGAGGGCCGTAGGGTCATGACTAGAGGGTCTCGGAGACTCACCACGGCTCAGAGGCACCCACCCTGAAAACACTGAGACACCAGACACTCAGGTGCCTGGGATGAGCCTCCCCAATCCAGTGACCATCGGTGCCCAATTCCAGGCCAAGAGAACCGCATACACAGAAATCCCAACATCCGGCCTGCTGCTCTCACCAAGGGACCTTAAGCAAGTCATTTCCTCTCTCGTGACCCACCTGGAAAGGGAAGCTGATCAGAGAGAGCTTGTAGGAGGAAGAATCAAACAAGATGATGCTGTGGTGATTTGGCCACCTCAGGCCAGGTCGCCAGGGAGAAGTAGGGACTTCTGGGACTTCTCTCTTAGCCAAGAAGGACAAAACTGTGGCGGTGCTATGACCCTCGCGGCCCTCTCACTGTCTCCCTGGGCGGCTGCACTGGCCTTGACCTCAGTCAGTGGGGGCTGAATGGAGGAGGCTGGGGCAGACCAGTCAGCAACACTAAGACCAGGAGGGGGATGAGGCTTGGGCTGGGTCACCAGTGACTCAGGGGCCACGGAGGGAGGGGGCTCGACAGCCACTCTCCCTCCTGCCTTTCCCTCACCAGCTCGCTCGGCAGCCTGCTCCTTCCCACGTGCCCTCTGGGCTTGAACTCTGTCTCCCCACTTTAAGTGCTGGTCACTATATTGCATGGAGCCCAGGTGGATGGAGGAATCTGTTCCAGGCCCCAGGGCAGGATGACTTGGTCTGACCCAGGCCGGGGAGGCCAAGCAAGGGTGGAGGAGCCAGTGGAGGGGCTTGGGCTTGAGGTGACGTCTGCAGGGGCAGGGACCTGGCCACACTTAGGAGGCACTGGACCCCACAGCCTTGCCTCAGTCTTACCTCGGTAGTTCTCACATATTAGGACCGAACCCTGGAGCTATCATCTCACCTCTGTGAGTCCTGAAGACCCCTTCTGGGAAATGAGGACGGTGCTGAGTCTGGCTGAGTGGCTGTGGCCACCGGTCGTGGAGGGCTGGCACTGTGCATTCTGGAATGCCACCTAGACAGGTCAGGCAGGTTCCTAGGCAGAGCCAGCTCACTCCACCCCTCCCTCCCCGGAGAGACCGGGAGGGGAAGGGGTTCAGACTGGAATGCAGACCCTGTGGACCTTCTCCCCTACATCTAACCAGGCTTCACAGCCAGATGGACATGAGGACAAAGGGGAATCAGGGCCAAGGGAACTAGCCACACGGCAAGGTCAGGCAGGAGACAGGACCAGCCCTGTCTGGCTCTGAATCTCTGCCCAGGCCTGAGGTCCTGCTGAGGGCACGGCCAGCACGGCCAGCATGGCCTCAGCCAGTGGGAAAATCAGGGAGCCAGGAGCTCAGGTCCCAGGGCCATGTAGCAGGCAGGGCAGGGACAAGGTTGACGTGGACCCTGGAGGTAGGGGCAGATAACTGCATAATCACCTGCCAGCTGCCCTGGCCCGGATGGGGCTTGGGCCCTGCCTCCCCACCAGTCGCAAGGCTGGGGCCCCGGGGGAGAGGGGCCGAGGCCCTCAGATCCAGGTCTTGTCTGGGACCCAGGTCCTCAGGCTCCTGCCCTGAGTTTGCGGACCAGTTGGCATTTCCGGCTTTGGCATCTACAAGGTGATTCCCATTCTTGCGTATCACCCACAGCCCCTCAGGGCAGGTGTTGTTTGTTTTGTTTTACAAGAATAGAAGCACAGGCTCAAGAAGTGGTGCCTTCTGTGAGTGGCAACAGCGGGATTTGGACACAAGGCCCATGCTCTTTCCAGCGAGTCAGGACCTGAGAGAAGGCGAGCAGGAGCCCCCCACACCAGCAGGTGGAGACCACATGGGGGCCAGGGCGGGAGGGGGGCCTCACCTGACTGCAGCAAGCCGGCGCCACGGTCCTTGACCCCAAAGTGCTGCTGGATGTCCAGAAGGACGCCTGGGAGGAGAAGGCAGAGGGTGCTCACTGGCACTGTCTGATGCCTGGGTGCCGCCATCCCCCCCGACCCCACCTACGTGACCCCCAGTCCCAGGCCCTAGACCAGCTCTCTTTTCACCTTATAGGGCCCAGCCTGGCCCCATCTTGAGAACTCCACCCTGCCCAGTTTAGCCAGGCCACTGGGGACCCTGGAGGCCAAGCTTCCACCCGGCCCCCACCGGGGCTCCCGTGCTCACCCGGGGAATAGGACCCCACCCCCTCACTCAGCCAATTCAGGGTTAGGGGGTGTCCAAGGCACAGAGAGGCAAGGTTCCTCCCAGGTCCCTCAGCCGGGTGGCACAGCCAAGCCTCCCACTGCCAGCCTGGACCTCTTGCCCACCTGGGGCCTAGCTCCAGACTAGGAGCTGGGACCCCAGACATGGACCCTGCCCTCAGGGGAGACCACACAGCCCACAGCCCAGGGAGTGTGTGGGCAGCCACTGAAAGCTGCAGGGAAGCCCTCTGGCTGAGGAGGGGCGGGGAGGACTCGCAGGCAACGCTCATACCTGCTCACACGCACGTGTGCACAGACCCACGCTCCCCCAGCTGTCCTCAGGAGTATAACCAGGACCCCAACTTTCCAACGCAGGAGCTGAGAGGCAGAGGGAGGCAGGTGGGCTCTGGGCCTGCCTTCTTGGGGGAAGGGGAGCCCTTGAGGCCACGTCTGCCCTTCTCCCAGCTTCCAGCCACCTCTGCTACCTCATCAGGGCTTTATATACCAAAAGGCGGCGGCAGCCAGAACAACTGGAAACTATGGGCAGCTGTGGACAGACCGAGCCATGGCTGTATGGAGGCCAGCAACCAGGGCTCCTGGTTGAGTAAGCACAACCCCCAGCCCCGCAGGCCCAGGGCCCCCGCCTCCACTTATCTCTGAGAACAGCAGGAGGCCGGGCCACAGGCCAGAGCCCCCCTGACCACTGCACGTCTGCACTGAGAAGGGCTGAGGAGAAAAGAGACAGGGGCTGCCCCAGGAGCTCCCCATGGAGGGGTCAGAGGAAGGACCGGGCTCCTGCCTTTGGGGGACTCCCAGAACTATTCCACGTGATGAGGGTGACGTCAGCCTTTAAAATGTCGATGGTCTGCATTATTGAGAATTAAGCGCTTTACTAGTTTACCCCTACTAAAGCATCGTCCCACAGGATAGGTGAGGAAACTGAGGCACAGAAGGTTAAGTCACATGTTCAGAGTCACACAACAGGGAAATGGGTGAAATTGGAATCTCCAGACAGTGCAAGGGTCCCATCTGCTGGCTGGGGCTGGGGGAATGGGGGCTGGGGGGAGTGGAGTACCCCTGTGCCCCTACTCGAGACCCAGGGCTGGGATGCTGAGGGATTTCCTGGGCTGCAGGGTCAGCCCGGCTGGTGTTCTAGCAGCCTGACAGCCCAGAGAAGCTGGTCTCCTCCTTGTTAATACCCAGAGTGGATTCACCCTAATTACCCATAATGAAGAGACTGTGCAAGACCCAGTTAATGACTTAATAACTAGGGCGGTCTGTGACCTTGCCTTGAAGGCAGAAGCCAGGGGCCAGTCCTGGCGCTGTGGATGGCAGGGCCACCAAGTGGGACCTCCGAGGTGCCCTGACCCGGCCTCAGAGGCCCCGAGTCCCATCAGGGCCTGTGGGTGGCATGGCTGGACCTGACCTTGGGGAGCCACCCACACTCACCTCCCAGCCCCACAGCCCATTCCCGGTCCTGAGCGAGGGCTCTGTAGCCTCCTGATCTGACCACATCCCTCTCGTATAATCACCATCACCTGTGACTTCCCATGCTCAGGGGAGGAGCCAGGCCCTTCACCAGGCCATGAAGTTCAGCCCCGCCAACCCCGCCCCCCAGCCTCACTTCTCAGGAATCACCCCTCCACCCCATTCTCCAGCCACCCTAAACTACTCATGGCCCCCCAACTACATACCCTCCCTCTTCTGACTTTGGCACAGTTTTGTTGGCTGAACTAATTCCTGCCATCTCTCTAAGACTAGTTTAGATGCCTCCTTTTCCGGGAAGTCTTCCCTGATCTCTCTCCATCCCACTACCCTCAATAAGTTAGTTGCCCCCACTCCCTCCGTCCATCCTTGTTTTAGCATTTGTCACACTAGGACTAGTTAGCTCTACAGAAAAGACACAGAAGGATGTGGATATAAGCTCCTTGGACCCACTGTGGCTGGGAGCTAAGAGCTGCTAGTTGCTGGTTCCTGCTAAGTTCCAGCCACCATGTGAGGCTCTACAGATGGTACTTCTATCCCTGCTATCCATGCTGATCTATGACTATCATCCCATCTTACATGTGAGGAGACCCAGGTTCCAAGAAATAAAATAACTGTTCATGCAGCACATAAGATGTCAGAGGTGAGATTTGAAATCAGGTCTATTGCCAAAAACCAAGCTGTTCTTCTACTGCAGCACCTCTGTGTGGTCCCCTCTAGACCCTCAGCCTGGGGTCTGGCACACAACTAGCCCACAGTGACTTTGTGGAGTGGATATATAAGCAAAGATGGGAGAGGCTTGCCTCATCCACTACTAGACCATGAACCCCTTGAGAGCTGGGACCATGGCCAGTCATCTCCAGAACCCAGGACAGGGACTGTCACAATTTAGGCATTGGGTAGACAGAAGGATGAGCAGAGTCAGGAGATGGTAGGAGGGTAAAACTCCGCCTGGGTCCTGCACTGCGGGTCCCCACCTACAGCCCAGAGGAGGGCATGGATCTGTGGTAACCACAGGGTCACTCTCTGGGAGGGAGGCCATATCAAAATGGTCATCATGAAGGTGGCAAGTGTCCACAGCAAATCGAAACACTCTTGCTTCCTCCCTGAGGCACATCCTAGCCATCTGACTAAAAGTACTCTCCCCACCATACTCCGAGGTCCAGCATTTGCCTCTGCCTCCAGGAAGCCTCCCTTGACTTCCTCTACTACACAGAGTTCCTGGTAAGGGGGAGGAATGGACATATCCAGATGGGCATCCAGGCTCCCCAGGAACTCCTGAACAGTCTAGATCCCAGGAAGCTTTGAATGCCCCCACCTCAGCACCTCAGAGCCTCAGACTTGGGTCCAAGGCCTGAGTTCCTGGCAGAAGGTCAGGGAAACCCTTCCAGGGAACAGGGGCTCATATAGGCCTTAAGATCCTAGGTCAGGCCCTGCCTGAGCCTTTCTGGGTTGCTTTTCCTCTCCGAGGCCTGGTAAAGGCCACAGCCACAGGCGAGTGAGACCCCACTGGCCGCCGGCACGGGGAGCGTGTGTCATAGCAGCTCGGCCGGGCGTCTCAGATTTTCCTCTGGGCTCCTGGCCGGCTTAGACCCACACACCCCCGCCCTTCTTCACCACAGCCTTATTTTTAGCCTCTTTCCTGGAGGCTGAGGTTTAGTGGGTCACAGGATGGGCCTCACGCCCAGGAGCAGCCTCCTATAGCTCAGACCAAGCCCACTCCACCAGCCCCACCAGCCTGGGGCAGGCAAGGTGGGGCTCCCACCCCACACGCAGCCCCCCGCATCCCACGGCCACAGATCCCAGTCCAGGCCTCTCCAGGCAGTCACCCCAAATCCACAGCCAGAATCGTCCTCTGCCCACAGGGGCCTCCTCCCTGGGCCAAGAAAACATTCTGGAAAAGCAAGAGCACCTGAATTTTCTTACCCATTGACCCTAATTACACCCCTGTCAAGCCTCCACGGGGCTTGCCTCTTGTCCCAGACCAGCTGGCCCTCCTGCCTTTCGGGGCTCTTGGCCTGGGTCAGCCGCTGGCTTGAGCTGTCCTGTCAGCATTTCCGTCACTTTTGTCCCCTATACGCCAGCCCACAGACATGCTCACCTCTCTCTCATCCTGGTGGTGAAAGCAATCCTTCTTTGTCCTCACTGCCAGCGGCTCTTTCTCACTCCCCCTACTTCACAGCTGAAGTCTTAAAAGAGTTCTCGCCCCTCCCCAACTCCATGTCCTCACCTCCATCACCCTCTGAAACCAATCACCTCATGGTGGTCCAACCCCACAGGCTCTCTCATCCCTCAGTGTCCCAGCTACCTGGATTCTGATTCCACGTCTCCACTCCCTGGTCCACTACCAGGCCGTGACACCCTCCTCGCCTCCCATGAATGGGCCCCAGCAATTCTCTCTCCACCACCTGTCCTCCTATCTGGGCTCCCTGCCTCCAGCCTCTCCCAGCCCATCCAGCATCCTTCCTGCAGCCTGGTCTCACAAACACTTGTCAACTACCTACTAAGTCCTGGGTTGGGGCTTCAGACGCCACAAGATAGTTTCTGGACTCAAGGAACTAAGGCCATGACCCAGTGGTTGCTCAACTCTGCTCGGGCTCAGAGGTGCCCAGGAGTTCTTCAGCATGCACTGGCCCAGGCCCCTGGGTCAGTACTACTGCTACCAACAACAACAATCATATGGGTATTAACACATATTGAGTGCTTACTACACGCCAGACACTGTTCTGAAAGTGTCACCTGTGTCAGTTCACTGAGTGTGGCTCCCCACTGCCACACAAATTAAGCCCAGACTTCTAGCATTTGCGGCCTCCAGATCTGCACAATCACCCTGTGCAGAGGCAGGAGCGAGGAATCTATTTACACATTGCCCAGGTAATTGGAAACCACTGGTCTGGATGGTCTGAGGCCCCCGTGACTTGTGCATTACAGCCCGCAGGTCTCCAAGCCTTGACTACACCTGTATCCTCTTCCTGGGCTGTTCCTTTCCCCCTGCTGAGATCCATCTCATCCAGGGTAGGCCACCTGGTTCCCAAGCTCACTCCCCCAAGCACAGTCATCATCACCCCATGTTCACCCTGCCTCTCTCAGAGCAGCAGGCAGCATAGCTGAATTCCCAAGAGCATGGGCTCCAGAGCCAGAGCATCTGGGTTCAAATCCTGGCTTTGCCACCTTCCCTGCTGTGTGATCTTAGGCAAGTTACTTAACCTCTCTGTGCCACTTTCCTCCTCTGTAACATAGATTATGGGAACTCCCACTTCTG